GTTAACAATACAATTATAATTATTAAAAATAATTTTATAGTTATTTGCATTAATTTAGAAATAATTAGTTGGTAAAAATTTATTATAAAACATAAACATAAATTTAAAAAAATAAAATTAGAAAACAATATTGAGTTTATTTTTAGAATTTACCTTGAAAACTAATTCAAACTTTTCTATCTTCCCTTTAATATTTTTTATGACCCACCCAACGGTTTAGCACCTCCACTCATCTTCCCGACATCAACAGAAACTACTGGAACATCCTCGATTTTCGTTCCAGAAACCACCTCTTCTCCTGCTTCTTCTCCCCTATAAATCCACCATTGAAATGCTTCTTTCTTCATCCTGTAATCCCTAAAGATCTCAACTGCAATTCACTTCAATTTGCTCGAATTTCGTAAGAAGATCAACAACTCGAAATGGATATCAGTCTGATGGCTCTCGACACCCCTTTTTACCGCAACCTCCATCACATCCTCGAAGCCACCGATGACGGCAACAACAAGTCAAGCACCGGCGGTCCTACTCGTGCTTACGTTCGTGATGCAAGAGCAATGGCTGCAACTCCGGCTGATGTGAAGGAGTATCCCAACTCTTACGTCTTCATCGTGGACATGCCGGGTCTGAAATCCGGCGATATCAAGGTGCAGGTGGAGGAAGAGAACGTGTTGGTGATAAGTGGAGAGAGGAAAAGGGAACACGAACAGGAAGAGAAGGAAGGTGTAAAGTATGTGAGGATGGAGAGAAGGATCGGTAAGTTCATGAGGAAGTTTGTATTGCCAGAGAATGCGAACACGGAGAAGATATCTGCGATCTGTCAAGATGGAGTTCTTACAGTAACTGTTGAGAAACTTCCTCCACCGGAGCCCAAAAAGCCCAAGTTGATCCAGGTTCAGGTTGCTTGAATCAAAGTGGATCATGTGGTGTGTTTCTATGAGCAATATGGTTTGAAGAACGTCGACACTATCGATATATCTAATAATCTGTTGTTTTCCGATTGATATTGCTGTAATCAATCTGTTGTTGTAGGATCCTGTTCACCTTTTGGTCCTTTATGAAATCTATGGCAATGTTGATGGTTTTCCTGCTTCAAACTTTTAAGCAGAACACCATGTTGGTGGGTTAAAATATATCGTCAGTAGATGGTTAAATGGCATATAAAGGAAAATAAGCTTCACAAAGTTATGGTGACTTTAGTCCTAGTATCACTATCCATAAACGGAGCAAACATATACGAGAAGATTAAAGAGCCAAAACCAACCTCCAACAAACAATCTGAACACCAAGCCTATAGATTCAAATCCGCAAGAGAAAATCGATTTAAGAAACAAATTCCAGATTCGGAACAAAATTTAAACTGCCAAAAAAAAACTATCAAAAACAGAAGCCACCAAGAAGGAATTCCAACAAACCAAGGGTAAAGTAGTAGATGATACCTTCTGTGGTTGCCAAGAAATGATCAAAATAAGCTATTCACATTTGATTGTGGCTTTAGCTGAATGAAGCCATTCATGATCGCTTCTATCCGACAACGAAATGCAGTGTATATAACTCGGTTCAAATCAAGTTAAACACAAAAACAATTAGTTTGTTTACTTATTAAGCAACCTTCATCGAAAATGGATACAAATAAGTGAAACAGATCGTCATTATAATTGAAATCAACCGGATCAATATAATTTCATTGGTTGTTTTTTTCAAGATTAAGGGGAAAATAAGTGAACCAAATAGAACCATTTGCTCAATGAAAACACCTCACGCTACCAGATCTGGTTTCGAATTATTTGAAAACCTACCTTGAAAATTTTTAGGTTAAAACAACTTGTCGGAATCCAGTCAAAAACTTGAAAATGCAGAAATTCAAATTCAGTAGTGGAAATGGAGAAAGAAGATGAGGAACAATAATATCCGAGATTTTGAAATCAGGATATTGTGCCCACCTTGAGAGTCGGAATTGCCAGACAGAATGAATCGCTTTCTTGCGATTCATCTTCTTGGAAGCAGGAATACATAGAGGTCAGGAATTGTGCTTAACAACCTTGTGCCATATTCATAAACCACCTGTAATCACAGCCATTTAAGAGCTTTTACACAAGGGTGGGGATATATGCATCGGTTGAGGATATATATACCACTCCCTATTGGTAAGGTGCATCTCTTCCTATCATCTAAGTTAAAGTCATATAATAAATATTTTTTTATTAATTATTTTTCAAAAATTTATGTCTTATAAATTTATGTTTTATAATATTTTTTAATATTGTTTTCTAATTTTATTTTTTTAAATTTATGTTTTATAATAGGGAAAAGTTCAAAAAAACCCAATGGACTTTACTGTTTGGAANNNNTAAACCCTTGGACAATTTTTTGGAACAAATAAACCCTTGGACTTTCTAAAATCTGTTAAATAACCCAATGGACTTTACTGTTTGGAACGATTAAATCCTTGGACAATTTTTTGGAACAAATAAACCCTTGGTATTTTTTGGTATATTTGGCGTAACTTTTGGTATATTTGGCGCAATTGTTGATATTTTTTGGCGCAACTTTTGGTATATTTGGCGCAATTGTTAGTATTTTCTTTGCGTAACTTTTGTTACATACTTTGGTTCAACTTTTGTTACATACTTTGGTTCAACTTTTGTTACATACTTTGATTCAACTTTTGGTATATATTTTCGTTTAACTTTTGGTAAAATTATGTCCAAAATGTGTATGCAGATTATTATGCTTTGGTTTCATTTTTTGTATATTTTACGAATAGCAATGAGAATGGTATATTTGTTTTTTTTTTAATGTAAGTACTTTTTTCGTTCAAAAAATATTTATGAACTTGATCGTTCAAAATATGAAAATCCATTGTTTTTTCATACCTTTTTCACTAACAAAATGTATTTAACATATTTTAGAAWGTYCAAGGACTTATTTAACAGGTTTTGTAAAGTCCAAGGACTTATTTAACAAGTTTTAAAAAGTCCAAAGATTTATTTGTTCCAAAAAATTGTCCAAGGGTTTAATCGTTCCAAACAGTAAAGTCCATTGGGTTTTTTTGACAGATTTTAGAAAGTCCAAGGGTTTATTTGCTCCAAAAAATTGTCCAAGGGTTTAATCGTTCCAAACAGTAAAGTCCATTGGGTTTTTTTGACAGATTTTAGAAAGTCCAAGAGTTTATTTGTTCCAAAAAATTGTCCAAGGGTTTAATCGTTCCAAACAGTAAAGTTTATTGGGTTTTTTTGAACTTTTCCCTTTATAATAAATTTTTACCAACTAACTATTTCTAAATTAATTTAAATAACTATAAAATTATTTTTAATTTTAATAATTGTATTGTTAACGTTTTAATTAATTAATAATTTGTATATGTATTTTTTTAAATAAATATTTAAAGCTACAAAAATAAAATAATTTAATACAAAAAAGATCATCAAAATAAGTTAATTGATAAATCAACAAATAAATTACAAAAAGTCTGAAAATATTACAACTCAATCAAGTGATACATACGACTATATACAAATTTTAACAAATAAATGATATATTATCTATACTATATTATAAAGCATTTGACAAAAACTCTTAAAAACCACTTTTTATGTGTAAAGTACTGTTTATTAATGCATATTACTTAAAACTCAAGATAACAAGTAGATTATACGTAAGTACAACTTATTAAAGCTCCATATCCGAATTCGTGTAACTAACTGCAGATAAACATAATCAAATACAGGATAAACATCTCATTTTAAATATAAAAAATCTAAAATATAATTAAGATAAGCATTGAGTTCTAACAGAATACTTAATTATTATCTTTATTATAAAATGTTATATTATTAAACCAAAAATAAATTACTTCATTATTATAAACTTAAATTAAATTATAATAAATAAAAATAAGTTAAAGAAATTACATAAAAAATGAAAACTTTTAAATAGTAATCTATACTATATTATAAATCATTTGACAAAAACTCTTGAAACCCACTTTTTAATCGTAAAATACTGTTTATTATTGCATATTACTTAAAATTCAAGATTGCAAGTAGATTGTGCATAACCTAGGATGTTCAAATACAGTGACTCCAGGCTATCTGCAAAACTAGAACTAAGAAAAGACAAACATTTTACTCATACATCTATCTTTAGCCAAAACCTAGAATAAGTAAAAGATTGTGTGTTTTCAAGCAAATAAAAAAAATCATATGATTAACAAAGTAAAAGATTAGGTATGAAAAAGAAAGTGAAAAATAAAAATACCTTCGATCGAAGTTGAATCCACCAAACTGAAAGGAAACATGAGTACGTTGGGTTGAAAACCATTGTTAGCATGATTGTAGGTTTTCAATTTTCCCCGATTCTTCAATATCACCCGGATTTTTATGGCCTTATGGGTATAATATTTTGGAATTAATGTTCTTTTTATGAGATTTTGAAAGTCTTTTAGTGAGTATAATGCATTGTGCCATGAAATTTTTTGGTGCGGTGAGTTGTGGTAGAGAAACAGGGTGTATCGAGCAAACAGAAAGTTGGGCCACTTGTCTCAGCACTTCAAGTCACGGTCAAGTCACGTAACTTTCTGTTATGAAATTTTTGAGTTTTTGTACAAATTGATGAAAGCATGTAATAATGTTTTCCCGATGCTAAACAACTACTTTGTAGATGGCATATTTATCAAAGTATTTTGAGAAAGTGCAAACCATCAATAACGTTGCATCAATCTTGGAATTTCTTTTACAAAGCATGGACGTCATTAGTTGAATCTCCAACAGAGGAAACCTACATGTTCAATTTGCCACAAATTGAAAATCTATTGCTTGAGTATCCAAGTATTACTTCTCTCTATCTCTTTCTTTATCTCTCTCTCTCTCTCTCTCTATATATATATATATATATATGAGTAAGATTAATATTGCTCGAGTATCCAGGTATTACTTCTCTCTATCTCTTTCTTTATCTCTCTCTCTCTCTCTATATATATATATATACATATATATGAGTAAAATTAATATTGCTCGAGTATCCAGGTATTACTTTTCCACACAATTTTTCATAAAATAAAACTCACGATTTTTTATATTTAGAATTAATGTTTATCTTTTTTTTGGGTTATTCTATTTAATCCAAATGATTTAATATTGAAATTTATATGTATTTGATTGAAATAAATTTGTTTACGGGTATATGTATTTGACTGAACTAAATTTGTTTAAACTTCAGGTGTTCTTGATTATTTGAATGAAATATGGTTGAAATCATATAAGCAAATGTTTGTATCCGTTTGGACCGACAAATTTCTTAACTTTGGAAATCACACAACTAACAAAATTGAAAGTCAACATTCTAAGTTGAAACTATACTTGGATTCGAACCAAGCAACTTTACGGGTGTTACTGTATGATATTCATCAACTCATTCACTCACAACATACGTCAATCAAAGCAAACTTTCATTGCACACGTTGAAATTAATCTTCAAAGAATTTGAGCGATCGAAAGATCTTGGCTTAGTTTCAGAAAACTGTAGATGTCAACTGTGTACATGTTATGGGTTACCATGTGCACATGAACAAACATATTATTTTAATGCAGACAAATCTATCCCACTTGAATCGATTGACAGATTTTGGAGAAAACTTGATTTATCATCGTGTATATCCGTGGAAGATGATGATATTTGTTGTGATGATGAAGTGCAAATGTTTACCGAGAACTTCGACAAACAGACGAGATCTATGAAGTCCAGTTTTCTAAGAAAGTTAAGGGAGATAATCGCGCCTTGTACAAGTCAGATTTGTGAACCGACTTTTCATACGACTCATGGTCGTCCCTCATTGAAGAGTAAGGTTGTCAAAAAAGGTCGTGTCGACCCACCAACTCAAGAACCTCATAGGCATAGTTGTCTAGACGGATCAACATTTGTGGAGTTTGATGTTTTGGCAAACAATGAACAAGTGAGACATAGTTTATCCTTCGACCAAAAAATTTATGCACATCCATACATTAATCAATTTCCAAGTATTTTTCATCCTTACATCGTGTAGGTGCGTAACGTAGCTCATGCAAGTTATTTTTTTTTATCTCAATGTATTAATCAATTTTTAAATAGTTTC